ATATTTGCAGCTGTTTAACATTCACATTTTTGTCCCCTAACATAGTTCTTGCTAGTTAAATTGTCACAGACTCCTTACTAGATAGTTCATTATACCTTTATCTATATGCATTAATATGCTACCATAGATTAAAACAGCATAAAATACTTTGACATAGTCAGTTAGAAAACACTTTGTCAGAGTCAAATAGCACAAACTAAAAAAAAAATAAATACCCAAACAAAAACACCAAATGAAAACAACCAACCAACACTCCCAAAAAAACCCACTGCTTAATGTTACAAATAAAACTTTAATTGGATTTTCTACAAAACAGATCTAAGAAGCAGCAACATATGAAAAGATTCGTGATTATTCTGTATCGTGGAACAGCAAATTTTTGTATTTGGAGATGTAAGCAAAGGATTAAAATTCATCACAAGGCACCAAATTATAAATGGTCCCACAGATGCATTTTTCACTATTAAGTGCCATACTGCAACACAGAATCTCAAAGTATTTTGTGTGAAAAAATACGTGATCTTGTTACCTGAATTAAGAGTTTTACATGCCAAAACAGATTAATAGTGCATTTAGTGGCAATTCTAAAACTGACACTACATGAACAATTAAAAGTTACCTATCAACTGCTGAGTGCTATTTGTCTTGAGAGAAGTTTGTAGTAGCCTTCTGCAGCTCAACCATAACACAGCTATTGCATAATTACAAGGGGCAGAAATTACTTTTGCTTTTATGTTTTTCAGAAAGTTTATGGGGAAAATTTTGTTTTATAGCATGATCATACACAAAACATCACCCTCCCATACTCTTATCACTGTACAGCTGAAAGACTGAAGCTAGCATTACTGTTACAGTTGCTGCTTTCATGTAATTGGTACCTATTCAAGCATACTCTGTATTTTGTTTTTACGATACACTTTTTTACTGTTCTGCCACAAACAGCACTCGATTTAAAGGTCTATACACAAGAAACTTGTACAGACACACACACAAAAAAAAAAAAAAAGGAGCAGAAGCTCCAGCTTCCTTGAATAGAACAAGCTTGAAGCTAGCAAAGAACATCTGGAAACTGCACATGGTGCTAACAGCAACCACTATCCCTTCCCAGCTTTGTTACCATCATCCATCCACAACTTCATGTGGGACTAGGATTAACTGTAGAGCTTTGTCAATTCTGACAAAATGCTGACAAATGGGCACCACCAAAAACAACCACCACCTGCACTGCTGCTCTTTTACCTTAAAGAATACATCCCCTGGTGAAAATGAAAACCAAAAGTATGGAACTGGGGCTGGGAAAGCAGTGCAGAGCATGCAAGACTTAGAATCAAGCAGCGCAGTGTGGCAATGGGAGCCTGCTGGATCTGCTGGGCGTAGGGAACTTAAAGCCAGGACCTTGTTATGACCAGTAATACTGCAGCAACCTAGTTTCACACAAGCAGCTGAAAAAAAAAATTGTCTTCTAATGATATTCCTGGAAGTTGTGACTCTCTATTTTTCAGCTGCCCTGGGTGGTATCTACTGTCATAGAAGAGAATCATTGCCAGATCCACATCCACAAAAAGAAAATCTGTAATATGCATAATACCTTCTGGCATACTTTCTAGAGTATAAAGAAAATTACCTACCTGTTCCTTGTGGGCTGCCAAACATTACACCACCACACACTCCTCAACAGAGGGGCTAACCCAGAGAAACACAGCGTGTCGCTCCTATAAAGGGAACAACATGAAATCCAAGACAAGGGGATGACCTCACCTTGCATTCTACAACACCAAAGGCAGAGAATAGCTGGTCTCTTAACAGCAAATCACAGAACAAAAATGGTTTTGAAAAATTATAATGACTAGCAATAATAAGAGGTGGACAAACACTAACAACTACTCTTGACAGCATTACCAACGAAGTCCCTGAAGCATGAAATGAACATTTCAAAAAAGAGCAACAATAACTCGGGTTCTAGTTGTGCCCCTTTTTCTAAATTTGGGAAAAACATGAGCCCAGAGCAGTGCTCAGACTTTTTTCAAAGGATAAAAAAAAATTTTTTTTTTATTAAACAACCAATTGTATTTCATGGATTATTACACCAAAGAAAACAGTTAAGAAACCCTGGTGGAAAGGAAGATCTCCATCAGATGCTTCATGTCCTACTTAAAGTGCCTAGACTTTGAAATTCCAGCTTCTTCAGTGTTTGCCCTTTCAGAGATATCCTTTCCCATCCTAAAACTGGAACAGCATCCAGACTGTGTCAGGAACAATCTGTAAATCCTTCAGTGGACCACTTTAAAGGTAACACACAGAAAAGATACCACATATTAAACATGATTAAAGCTTGCTTTGCCTCTGTAACATATGCTTCCAAGACAGCCCTTCCCAAAGTAGTCACACTGGATCAAAAACTGTCAGTTACAAATGACAGCACATAGATCTGAAACAAAAATTACTTTTTTTCTTTTAAGATTTCATTTCTAGGGATTTCCAGATTTCTAACAAAATTAAGCATCCATGTCCTTTTTCCATTAAGTGGGAAAACCACACTTCCTGTATTAATGTAATTCTGAAACTGTAACTAAAGTTGACTAAAACTAAACATCAGAAGTGTGAAAAGGAGACTCACTGAGAAATTAAGAGACAGACTAGATTTAATAAAAATATATCAGGATACAGTGACAGTCGTAGTTTTCAATCTCACAGTGTTCTCAGTGTTTCACTCATGTGTGTGTGCACACACACAAGGAGTCTACACTCACAATATAAAATTACTAAAACTCACACTCACTTATCAGCCGAAAAAGACAATTTTTTCAGTTTATTCTAACAATGCATGTCCAGAAAGAACAAACACTGATGAAATTTGCTTCAGATAGAGAATATTAAGCCTAGTTTTGTTAACAGTCACTCCTAAAAATATCAGTAGATAACCAACCATAAGGATGAAATTCTTTCCTGTTAGGGTGGTGAGGCACTGGAGTAGGTTGTCCAGGGAGGTTGTGAATGCTTCATCCCTGGCAGTGTTCAAGGCCAGGTTGGATGAGGCCTTGGGTAATACGGTTTAGGGCGAGGTGTCCCTGCCCACGGCAGGGGGGTTGGAACTTGATGACCTTAAGGTCCTTTCCAACCCGAACTATTCTATGATTCTATGATAACCAGGCGAATATAATTCTCCCTACTACAAAGAGAACCTAACACACAACAGAAAAATTTATTCTACAGCTTCCATCAGAAACACAAAGAAACCTACTTTCACTTTTTCTCTGTTGTCCCTGCTGGTCCAGGACCAAAATGTCTTTTTAGCATGTATCATCACTTTTTCTAACAGTCCAGGCACTTGCCACTACATAATTCTAAAGAACACACAATATTGCTTCTGTAGTTTTATGCTGTTCAAGCTAGAAAAGCTTGTATTTAACTACTGCACTTTATAAAAAGAGTACCATGGATACATGCATCACAGGAGAGATTTACAGATTGTCTAATCCCACAATGGTGCTATAACTCTGTGATCAGGGCTCATTTCATTCACTATTGTTAAAAACTGCATCTTTAATCATACAGAAATTCATCTCCACCCTTTCAGAAAAATGGAAGGGGGGAGGATGGGGGAGTGTGACCACACAAACCAAGAGACACACAGGAAGAATTTGGTACCCCCACTAAATTTTAACTAAAAAAATAACCAAAAAAACCACCCCAAAACTAGTGGATTCAGGGAAGACTATTCTTTGACACAGAAAAACACACACTTGCACAAACAAAAAGTCTGCAAAATATTATGACAGGACACCAAAAATCCATCATCATCCATACACTATGCAGCACCAAGCTACCAACTAGAAGGCAGCATTATTAGCCGTAAATGTTGAACTCTCCCGTAACATTTCTGTCGAAATGTATCGACAGAGAAATGAGAAATGAGGTAATACAGAGAAAATGGAGACAGGTGCTGAAATAAGTTCCTAACATGGCAGAAACTTATCCTTTCAGGTAACAAAATGTGCTTTTAGAAGGTACTGTAATACTAGTCCAAGCACCCTACCCACTTAAAGGACAGGAAAATCTTGTAACTTTCTCGCTTGTTTTCACACTCCCATCTCCTTCTGTAGGAATTCCTTTCTCAGCTTCCAGCTCCCTCTCCATCCCGCTGCTTTTGACTAATTCTGAACTACCCGCTGAACTCACCCACAGCGGTAAACACAGCGGGACCAGGGCAAACACATAAAATACGCTTCTTTTGATGGCCTCTCTTAAAGCCTCAAAACATGCCACTACATCAGCACTGGTTTCCTCTGTCAGAAGACAAAACGGACAGCAAGGAGGCGGCTCCCGGGGCCACCAGCACACAAGCTGCCCCTCGGCAGGGCCACGCAGGCTGCCAGCACACCTCTCCACAGGCCCCGCGCCAGGCCTGGCTCCGCTCCCCGCCTGCCGGGCGCGACCCTCAGCACTACCAGGGCCCCCAGGAATCAGGCCGCTCTTCCGGCGCGACCCCCCTAACCGGACCTCCGTGCCCGGCCTGACAAGCCGCGACGGCCGACACGTCGGCAGGCCACCCCGCGCCACCGCCCACCCCGGCCGGGCCTCGGAGCGCTCCGTACACCCGCCCGGTCCGGCCCCACCTCCCTCCGCCCGTCCTTCAGACGGAGGAGCGGGAGGAGAAGGGCGAAACAGCCCCCGCCGCCTCCCGGACCCGCGCGGCGGCAGGCGCCGGCTCCGCGCCCGGAGGGACGGCGGAGGAAGGCGGCCGGGCCCTCCGCAGGCCGCGCGGGGAAACGGGCCGTAACGGCAGCGGCCGCCTCCCCTCCCATGACACTGCAGAGCGGGGCCCAGCCGCCGCCCTCCGCCGCCGAGGCCTCCTTCCGCCGTTGGCTCCGTGGGCTCCGCTCCCGGCGGCGGCGCCGCCATGATGATCCGCCCGAAACGGCGCCGCGCCAGGCCCTAACGCCGGGACGGGCCCCTGGACGCTTCCCCGCCGCCGCGGCCTGGCGTCCCGCGCCGCTCACCTTCATGTCGGGACATCCTACTCCAGAAGTAGTGGCCCGGGCCCTGCTTGGCGCTCCCGGTGGCTCCTCCGGCGCCGCTGCGGCCTCGCCGCAGGCCGCGGCACACACGGAGCTCCGGTGAGCGGACAGAGCGGCCGAACGCACGGCCGGGACGAAAGCAACGATACCAGAAGCGGCGAATAGAGTGCCTCCGTGCGCCTCCTCCTCCCTCTCCCTCGCTCGCCCTGATGGGGGCGGGTCCGGCGGCAGCGGCTTCCCGGGCGTCGTGACTCTCTGACTCTGGGCCCTGTCGGCTGTTGGCACCGCCTCCCGCTCCGCCCGCTGCCGCAGCGACGGCGGCGGCGGCGGCGCTCCCGGCGGTCTCGCTGGGGAGCTCCGGGCCGGTTCCACCTCCTCCCGAGGCGGAACTACCCCGCAGGAGCCGCGACCTTACCCCCCTGGCTCCCGGGCGGGAGAGTGAAGGCAGTAGTGGCCCCGTGGTCAGAGCGCGCTAAGAGCCCTGACAAAGGTGAGGAGTGCTCCAGGGCAGTAAATTGCGCAGGTAACCGACCCCCTCTGCTATGGGGCATCCGCCAGAAGTAATAGGGACGCGTCCTGAGCAGCGTTTTTATGCAAAAGGCGGGGGGGGGTGGGAGATGGGAGGAGGGAAGAGGGAAGCAGTGGCAGAGCCAGAGCGCATGCTCCGAGGTGGTGGCTCAGTTGCAAGCGGTGTTACTCGTTCCGGCAGCCGTGCGGACCGGCTCGCTGAGGGCGCGCAGGCGGGCACGGACCGTTTCCTTACTGTTTTCCCCCAGTTGTCAGGTCTGCAGGGTACTCCTGCTGGAAGCGTCTCCCGGTCAGGCTCCAGCTCAGTACGAAGGAGGCCCCACGTGTCGAGTGTCGCTGCGCTCCAGACAAGTCGCCGGGTCTTTCCACGCGATGAGCACTTCTCGTCCATCCCATCACGGTTGCTTCGTGCCCTGTCATGAAGGCAGGCTAGTTTTCAGAGGAGTGAAAAACCTGCAGCATGGCTGTTCCTTCCCTTACATACGTTCAGATGTACGTGGTATATACATCAAGCATCTTGATTTGGTGCTGCCTTTCCAGCTATGACTTCCTGACCATCCCACCGATTTAATTCTGAATTGCACTGTCTTCCATACCTTCTCTGCCCATGCTACTCCCACCTGTCCTCATCTTCTTCTTAAGTTTTCCTCTTCTGCCCTTGAGCATGACATTCCTTCATTTTTTATCTGTGCCAGTCAGACACCTCCATCTTCACCACCATGTTGCACCACAGCCCCATACGCCTGCCACAGCCCTGCAATTCTTGTGCATTCATGTTGGTGAAGTACCTCCTCATTAATCTATTTCAAAGGCTGTGAGAGCCCACGTGCCAGAGTGGCCTAAGCATTGCGCAGCAGTGAACGGCAGGACTGAGCACTGCTGAAAGAAGTACCAGCCTCATTCCTTGCGCCATTTCCCCCTCCATGTCAATCATATTACATAGCCTCCACTTCTCCCCATTACGTGCATGTGCACGCTTCTGTACCCTGTAGTCTGACCACTTGGTTCACTTCCATGTTTACCTTTGTCATACGCAGTTTCATAAACACAGTGCCTTCTGAAAGGATAACCTGGATCAAGCCTGGCTAAAAATCCAATGGATTGTAGGTATTTTCACTGGAAGCAAGCACCACCTGAGTGTTGGATAAACTGTAGGAGACACTGAGGGTCATTTTGACTCATGGGAGCCATTTTGAAAATGGCTTCACTGCTTCTGAAAAGGGAGTATCAGTGACCATACAAAAAGTTTGCAAGAAGCACACCACAGTTGACAGGAAACTGCAACTGTGAGAAAACTCACTATGAAACTATGGAAGTGATATCTGCAAAACAATACTGGAGGTGAAGAAGTGCCTATCTTGCCAGCATTTCACAGCAACAGTGCACAGAGTGGGGTAGTGGGTCACGTGTGTTCTACTACTTTATTTTGGCACCGACATTCTTAAATGCAAATGGAAATTGTCTCACCGAGATGCAGAGTACAGGCCATCAAGTGCTCTTGGCTGATGCTACCCTTTAGTCCCTACAAGAGCAAGCTAGCTTGCAAGCTGATAACTCGCTGGCTAGCAATATCTTATCTCTGAGAGAGGCTATGGTTCCCTGTGTAAGTAACTGCCTTGCTTTGAGCGCTATGATGCTCTGTTGGCCTGTGCTCAGTTTTATCCTGTTTCTGGCAAAGCAGACTGCAACCCACGCACTTCACTGGGACCCACAATATGGAGTCTTTGGTCATGAAGACTTTGGGCTAATCGTCTCTAGATACTTCAGTTGCAAAATGGTTTAATAAACTGTCCTGCTTTTGTTAAGTGTCATCCACCCAGATGTCCATGAGTGTACATGGTCCAGCACAAGCTGGTGAGCCTCCCAGCACACAGATTTTCTGAAACACCCCTGGTGCCTGTGGCATCCAAGAAGAATTCTGTGGCCTCTTCTCCATCTTTGTAGGCTTGAGTCCAAAATTAAAACTATGATAGTGTTATTATATACTGTGCTCTTGCCCCAAGTCCAGTATCTATACCCAGCAAGAAAGTATAGATAAATGCCTTTGTCCTCTTGGAATCACATTAGAATATGTCTGCATGTGCAATAGTATGTAAAACACACCTTCATTACAGAATCATAGAATGGTTAGGGTTGGAAAGGACCTTAAGATCATCAAGTTCCAACCCCCCTGCCATGAGCAGGGACGCCTCACACGAAACCATGTACTCAAGGCTCTCTCCAACCTGGCCTTGAACACTGCCAGGGAATGCAGCATTTACCACTTCTTTGGGCAACCCATTCCAGTGCCTCACCACCCTCACAGTAAAGAACTTCTTCCTTACACCTAGTCTGAAATTCCCCTGTTTAAGTTTTAACCCGTTACCCCTTCTCTTACCACTACAGTCCCTAATGAAGAGTCTCTCTCTAGTATCACTGTAGGCCCCCTTCAGATACTGGAAGGCTGCTATGAGGTCTCCACGCAGCCTTCTCTTCTCCAGGCTGAACAGCCCCAACTTTCTCAGCCTATCTTCACACAGGAGGTGCTCCAGCCCCTGATCATTCTCGTGGCCCTCCTCTGGACTTGCTTCGACAGCTCCATGTCCTTTTTATGTTGAGGACATCAGAACTGCACACAGTGGGAATTTTGCTGATTATCTCCTCTTCAAATATAGCAAATACTGCAAATGTGACATGCCCAGGCTCCCAGAGGTGTGCATGTGACAACTGGCTGCATGTGGAAGGAGGCGCGTAACAAAATTTGAAGGTCCTTTGCAAAGTCATAGCCACTGACAAAAATATTCTTATATTCTTAACGTTAAATTAATAATATATACTGTCCTTGTTTTGAACAATATTGTTTCTCAAGTCCATATGCTGTTATCCCACAGGCAGAATTAGAAAGAAAGATTTTGGTTAGGTTCATAAAGTTCTGCTGTTGATAGACCCTTCTGTTCCTAAGGGAAGAGCCTGCCATAACCAGGTTACTCATTTTTTCTCTCCTGTGCAGCAGGATAATTCATAGGTGAGATTTCCTGTAAAGCCATGAGGAAAAAAAAAAATACAGTATCAGTATTTTCCTGATGTTGAAGCCAAGTTGCAAAATGAAAATTTACCTACCCAAGGTCATTCAAGGTCCCAGGCTAAGGATTAGAGACCCAGATCTCATAGGGAATTAGACCAATGTATAAGCCACAGTGACAAACAGAGAAAATAATGATTTTTCTCAACATGAAATCACAATATGATAAAACTTGTGCTTGGAAGTAATAAAATCTTCTGATAGAGGGAAGAGATGTTTGTGTGGTGTCCTGGGTTCAGCAGTAGCAGTCATTTTTCTCCTTCTTGGTAGCTGGTGCAATGCTGTGTTTTGACTTTTGGGCTGGGAACAGAGCTGATAACAATGATGTTTTGGTCTGGCCAAGGACTTTCTGAGCCTCATGCTCTGCCAGGGAGGAGGGGAAGCCGGGAGGAAGCAGAGTCAGGACACCTGACCCAAACTGACCAAAGAGGTATTCCATACCACAGCACGTCATGCCCTGGATGTAACGGAGAGTTACCCGGAAGGGTGAGGAGACTGCAGGGTTGGAGGAGGTATGGGTCGGTGCTTGGTCAGGCTGGGGGGGGCTGGGTTTAAACCACAACAGGTGGTCTCATGCGGTTCCTCTCCCTGACACTGTAAAAAGGTTCAGTGTCCGGAGTGAAGCAGGACAAGTCTGAATACAAGTTTGACTAAAGACATCCTAGGGCAGAGCTCCTGAGTGGTAAAACTGTTAGGAGCCACTTAGTCCATTAGTCTCCTTGAAATCTTTCCTTTGTGAGCTGCTTAAACCCCACTGATATAGTGATTTTGCTTGTTTCCGTGCTGTCCCTGCGAGGGTTTGAGGCTTTGAGGAAGAGCTCTATACTTCACTTTGCTTGGACTTGTCTTTACCAGTGCTGGGCACCCCACTACATACAACACTAGCTCCTTGTTTGTTGTATGGTGCAGCTTCACAGTTGGGTGAAGGTATGCTGTCACCATAGTGGTATAAAACTTACATAAATCAGTCATTTGGATCAGTCTGGTTGTTGTAAGAACATATGGAATTATGTATATATGCTCAAATGTTAAATTTCTACACTGGTACACATCAGGGCCTCCCGCTACACTTTATTTTCTGACTGCTGCTTTTTTGCGTCCTCTGGCTCAGTAGCTGTTCAACTTGCTTACGAGCTGTTTTCAGCATGATCTGTAAAGAAACATTTTAAAATCAGAAAAAGACAGTCTTGCTGCTTTCCATCCTACAGGGGAAGACTTGAAAGAGCTTTACATAATTCCCTCCCTCCATTTTGTTTTGACATCTGTGACAAGGACACAAGCTCTGTCACAATGGACCAGATAACAGACCAGAAAGCACAAAGGCTTTGGGATTCCTGTGGCTGGATGAAGGTAGGAGATAGTATTTCCACATAAATGTTCAAGGCCAAGTTGGAGGGAGTCTTGGTCACATGGTTTATGTGTGGCGCCCCTGCTGAGGCAGGGGTTTGGAACTAGGCAATTTCAAGGTCCTTTCCAACCCAAACTGTTCTATGATTCTATAAATATTTCCTGTGAACTGAATCCTTCCACATTCACAGGCCTACTGATGATGTCTCGCAATACAGCTTGAAGTGTCCAAAACACTGAGAAACAGCAGAAGTGAACTTGGATTCAACAGGAGCATCAGATGTGTTTACTTAGTGGGTCTCATTTAGAGCTTTTGTAATGGAGTACAAGCATTCCACTGGAAGAGAAACGGGGCTTGAATTTTTAGCAGACATCCCTCCTAGGGGAACTGTATTTGGCCTTGGAGTTATATTGGTGTAAGTACAAGTAAATATGCTATAAAATGCTCATCATCAGTTTAAACTTTTATTAGAACTCTTCCTTTTGAATGCCAGTCACTGTTAGAATGTGCAATGCAAATGCTACACTGCAATGCCTATTTATCACTGGCAACCAGCAGCTGAGGAAGCTGTTTAATTTCTTAAACACACAGTCCAGGTGAAAATGTCACATCTGCCATCTTTCCATCTTTCAGGTGTAAATATCACATCTTTCTGCCGTGGGGAGCAGTGGCATTCCCATATTCACCTGCACATGCCCTGAAACTACTGCCTCCTACCCAGGCCATATGTAATAGCTTTGACACATTCACAAAATCTTTCTGTAAGCCAGACATTTTAAGCATTAAGTGGTTAAGCTAACTGATACTTGTATGCAGTCACACCTATGCATGCAGGCACTGCACAGAATTCTAGTACATTGCTGCTCTTTTCCTTCTATCAGCAAATTTATCTGGACTACAGCAAAACCAGGAACTGTCTTGCTAATCTCCTTACCTTTCCAGACCACTCCACTTTGGGGTCAGTACTCAGAGGTTATCCCAGATCTACCCTAACGAGAGCTTTCTCCTTCTCAGCAGTCAGTTCTTAATGTTGGTTAGGATACCAGATGTTGGTATAAAGCTAAAAATGCCATAGCTAACTCTTTCTCTCCTACTTTTCTGGCAAAACCTTGATGAAGAATTTGAGCCAAACCAAACACTGAAAAAATCATCAAACCATTCTGTCCTTTTATTGACCACAAAGCCTTGTAATGGCATGGTTCCAGTAAGCATACTGTTCTTACAGGACCTAAAGTCACAGTGTACTAGGAAATGGAAACAGCTTTTAAAGATTCTCTGAATTCCATCTCTCTTTTCTCTCAGAAGAGAACAAATTAAAAATAATTTATCCTTTCTTGAAATTATTGAGACTGGAGGTTACTGCTGAACCAACTGATACTCCTCTACTTGATAACAACAAACGTGGCTTGTTTTACTCCATTCCATGTGAATGAGTGAGAAACACGGCATCCCAAGCACTGTTCAGCAAGGAGATATCAGGGATGTATCTTGTTTACTTAAAAAGCCCTTTTTCTGCAATGAGGAAGAAGCGAATAAAGCAATACCTGCTCATCACTGTAAACTCTCTTTCCTCTGCTCCTCAGATATATTTTATACATGTTTCTCACGGCCATGCTACAATACTTGTTCAGGCTATGAGAGAGGTTTTTATTACCCTTTGTTACGCCTTTCTGCCCTTTAATTCTCTGCTATCCCCACCCTGTTTCAAACACTAGGCAGGTTCACTATGAATTCAAATCACTGAGTGACCCTATTTGACCTTTTTGAGTGCTGCTGTGCCTATTCTTACACTGGATGCTGCCATCTGATACAGTAGACAAGCTCCTCTTCCACAGCATAGTGATTAATCTTTGGATCTATATGCCTCTATTTCAATAAAATTTAAGATGACTGCTACCTTATGTGCAGACACCTCACTTGTTGGGATCCTGGGATGCTATGATGAGGTGGGACAATGGAGTCACATGCCCCAGTCTCCACATCTGGCCCAAGATCTTCAGGGGTCACAGGAGGCCTTCATGGCTAGGTCTTTTTTTCTTGAGGACCTTTGTGAGCAAAAGGGCCTTCCAGAAGCCACTGCAGAACCTCATCAACTCTAGCACTACCCAGAGTAAGTGCAGCATGGGAAAGCGTGGGAAAGCATTGTTCTGCAGTGCCTGTATCTGCTGTGCAGGGGTGGGGCTGAGAAAACAAGTGTAACTCCTATAGTGTTACAGAGACTGCTAGCATTCATTGAAGTGTCTGTGGTGTGCATCTCTGTGTACATCACACATTTTCAAACTTACAAGGACATACGGTTTCTGCTGTAAAAAGCCCATAGTATAAAGTGGCAGGAGAAAGCTGGCAGCATGGGATATAAAGCCCAGGGATTGAGAGTCATGTCCTGGCCACGGCTGCTGAGCAGCAATCCTGCAGTAAAGTAGGTTATATCTCATCTGTCCCTTTCTCTTCTGTCCTTACAGGTTTTAGCCTGCATAGCTCAGACAAGCACAGAGCCACTAATGTATTAGCAATTGAAAAAAAAGGAATTGGAGGGTCAGTACAGGCTAACCTGGAGGGAAGGCACTGCTCTGACTGCAAACATACAGACCTGCCGAGTGTGCTAGGTGGCTCTGTTGGGTTCAGCAGCAGGTGTCTCTCCTGAAGTCATTTGCTGTAATATTTTTAGCTGTTGTTAGTGATGCATGAGTAGTGAATTTGGATTGGCTTGGGCCCAGTCTTGCCTCATCTCCCCCTTCGTTCTGCAATGACACAAGAGAAAACTTCAGTGCCTAGAGGAAGCTAGTTATGACTGCAACACTGCTAATGACAAGCAGTCATCCAGGTTTTGGGTTTTTGTTCAGACACCCTCTTCTAACAAAAAAGTAGGTCTCGCATGAAACAAATCTCTCTCTTACATTTTCTTTCTGAATGTCAGAAGGCAAGCAGTTTTACATTCTCAACTTACAAGCTTTTAATTTTTCAGCTAAAGAATGATCAAGATTGACATTTGAAAATGTGTTTTTAAAAACAGATGTTTCTGGTTTTCACTTGCCCATTTAAAATACAGTATCCCCTTTTACTGTGGCCTTCAGCTGAGCCCTTTTAATTGTGGCTGTCAGCCCACAGACTAGACCTCTAAAACAACTTAGTAAGCTGATTGGCACTACCACTCAACCTGTAGCTCTATGTTGGCAGAGTGCTGTAAAAGGTGGCATGCTTGGGAGCCCTCCCCACTGCCATTCACCTGGGCTGTGAGTACCTGCAAATTGGGAATTCTGGCTCATTTTACAGCAGAAAAACTGTCAGTGTAAGCAGCCAGTAGAGCCAGTGAGCACCATATGTTGTAATGTACAGGAAGAGTGTATTCTCACTGTCATCTAGGAAAACAGGGAATAAAATTCACATTCATGGTGTGGCTGGAAGCTAGAGGAGGGACAGATGCATGTAAGCACCTTGGCTCTGAAAAGAGGTTATCTGTCTGCCGCTTTCTCATCCTGGTGATAATCTTTGGCAGAAGGGGAAGGACAGGGGATGTACATCCACAATACAAACACATCTCCCTTTTTATTTCCTTTTCCAAAGCTTCTTGGTGGCAGCACATGCATTTATTCAACTGTTCTTGGTCTGTTGGAGAGACAACTTGGACAACAGAAAGGGTTTTGTATACACCTATACAAAGCAACCCACACCCAAAAGAATGAGATGCCCAAACACATCAAGGCTTCTTGTGCAGCCGCAAAATCACTGCTCACGAGCTGTACTGATAAGGTAGCATTACATCTGTCACCAGGTGATATACCTGTCATTTCAGATAAGGGCAGAGCTGGCATCACACCTGTGGGAACAGGTGTATAGGTAGCATAGGTAGCATAGCCCGGCAGCTCAATCTATACACACATAGTAAGCAGCTGCACTTGAGCAGCTCGAGGGCTGAATTGCTGGGTGCTCAAGCTGAAGTCACATGTGGCATCTTTTCACTCACTTCAAATCCCTCCTCCATGGATACAAACTGCAAGACTCAGTTTCGGCAAACCAGTGAGAAAGAAACATCTTTGACCTCCTTCACTGAAATCGTCAGTCCTGCTTCCTGATGAGTGATGCAGCCACTTTTGACCTGCAGCAGCATGCTTGATTTCCTCAATTTGGCCCAAGTCCTCCCATGACTTCCAAGAAGCAGGAGCAGCAATGGCCAGTTCTTCATCACAGAGGGACCAGAGAAACTTACCATAACAAAGCTGGCTTTAGGGGACCAAAACTTCCCAGCTTGTGGAGGTGCATGAGTGTAGCGCTGACTGGAGGCACAACTCCAACAGGTGTAAACTGACCACAAGACCCATGCTTTGAGCAGAGGGGCTTAGCCACGAGGTTATTTTAGAACACCGCGACTCAGCAGAGTCCGGATCTGGTACAGAGTGTCCCGTGTCAGAGAAGGCATCATTTCAGTTGATGACAAATTTCTCTCCAATTAACACCAACAATTTTTAATGAAGATGACCATTTAGCTCCTCCCAGAATACTTGAGCTCCAGTCCTCTGTGGTGCTGTGTATTGGCTTACCACGCAGCTGCTCTTCCGTGTTTAATTAGCAGGTGTGAAATCAGTTGTGTTGCTTAGAGAAAGAGCCGTCCGAGTTACAGCTCTGCGTGCCTGCACACAGCCAGCCTCGGTGAGCTGAGCATGGATTACACACTGCCATCTAGCGATGAACGTCCCTTTTCCCGCCGCACAGAAGCAGAAAATTGCTGTCCCGAAGGCTTTTAATTGCCCGAGGCTGCAGTCTTAACGTAGGCTTACATCCCGTGACCTGGCGAAGGACAGGGGTGGGTGACACGTGTAATGGAGCACAGAGTGCTAGCCCCGAGGAGCTTACATAGGACAGCTGATGTAAACATTTGGCATCCCGGGGTAGGGTTCCTGGCTAAATTTGGCGAAGCTTCTATTATCTCTCCATGCCAAGTTCTTACACACATCTAAAGTAAGTGCGTACATACTCAATTTTGTCAATCTTCTCCTGAATGTTCACATGCACATGCTCTTGTGTGCCTCTCACATGCTAGGATGCTTTTTCCTTTTTTAATTTTTTCCTTTCTATGTGTTTTTCTTTTCCTGTGGTTTTTTATATTTTTTTTTTTCCTAGAGGCCCTACAAGAAATATGGAGAGGGACTTTTTCTAAGAGCATGTAGTGACAGGACAAAGGGGAATGGCTTTAAACTGAAAGATGGGAGATTTAGATTAGACGTTAGGAAGAAATTCTTCACTCTGAGAGGATGATGAGACACTGGCACAGGGTGCCCGGAGAAGCTGTGACTGCCCCATCCCTTGCAATGTTCAAGGCCAGGCTGGACTGGGCTTGGAGCAGCCTGGTCTAGTGGAAGGTGTCCCTCGACATGGCAGGGGGTTGGAACTGGATGAGCTTTAAGATCCCTTCCAACCCAAACCATTCTCTGGTTCTACTAAATTCAGGTCCCACCCTAGCAGCAGGAGGGATATTGAAACCACTATGCCTTATATGGGACAACACCTGACACGTGGCTCCATTCACATGTACAGGGCAAGAAAACCACAGCCGCAGTGTCTTCCCTGCTTATTTGGAACTGCCACATGGGGAAGCACACCAGCAATTGCAAAGCCTTTGTGTGAGCCCCTAAGGGATGACTCTACACCATCATTTCATGCTGTTCCTTTATCCCTTTGCTCTAAAAGCCACAGGAGCTTTAAGGCATTTTGTGCCCAAATCTCCATAAGTCCCTTGTCACCAGTGCACTCCATAAGTCCCTTGTCACCAGTGCACCACATGAATTCCCTGTTAGCACTTGATCTGAAGTGTTTTGCATGGCAGGAGTGACTAGAAACCTCACTGCTTCCCTGCTGAAGGATACTGCTCCCACAAGGTCCAGCTAAACAACATGCTCCTAATCTGCCTCAGTACAGACACACAGCAACTGGCAGAAGCATTTTGTGCTGAGGTAGTTTTTTACTGAACAGATTAGGAAGATCATGTTTTGTTAGCCGAGTTGCAGAGACAATAAGAAAGAATCTAGTAACAGCTTAGACAGAAAAAACAGCTAGACAGAGGCAGGAACATCAGCCTCTGATAAAAACAGGCATAGGAAATTACTTTACACTCTTTAATAATTCTTAGTACTCCACTGCATGTTTCAATGACACTGATTGACAAGGGACAGTTGTATGAATATAGTTTTCCATTTCAACATAGCTCTTCAGTAATAAAATTGTACGCAAGAGTTAGATCCCTACACACAATCAGTAACAACAGTAAGTTTTCCTGT